TCCCATCCGAGTCTGATCGACAGCACAATATTTGGGGCGAAGGTACAGGCAGAGTATTTTATAAGGATTGAAAAAATTTCTTCAAAGGCGCAATACTAATTAAAAGTTTCTGTAAGCTCCGTGCGGAATGAAAAAACTTTGGTATATCTCGCTACTCTAATACTTATTGTAAACACGACGGGGAAAATGTGTAGATAATCGGAAAAGGTTCTCGATGATCCGAGTTCCATTGTGATACTCTGCGCTTGCACGGTCTGCGCACGCGTGCAGCATTCATAATTCACGAAGTCCGCACGCGTGAGCAGACCGCACGAAATTTAGGTCCTTTAGGACAAGAAGAAACTAAAATTCCGAAATGCACCTTCACCTCTTTGAAAAACTGGCCCGGATTTGAGGGAAACTTTCCAATCTTAGTCAAAACCCGCTTATAGAATACTCTAGGTAAAGGTGTGTTTTGACGCATCAACGTGGCGATTTCCTGTCGATTATCCGGCTCGTTCGTCTATAAAGTTCATGGGACGGGGTATTCCTTCCTTCGTAACGGGTGGTTCACGAACAAACGTTGTTGAAGTCACAGATAGTATTTTCGCCCGTGACGGTATAGTGTTCGCCATCGTCGATGGCGAAACCAACCACTTAGCCAACGGGAGCGTGTGTCAGTTTAAAGTCAAACGCCGTCGCCGGCTTGGTCAGACTTGATGCCGATATGCTAGCCATGATAGCTTGATGAGCTCTTGTTGCGTTCTTCAGTCAGCCCGAAACGCTGCCACAACGAACAGCAGGAGCAGATCAGACCATCTCATTCCCTCCTAGCAGGATCCACTCTTCACCGCGGGGCTGTGCCAACCGACCGAAACACTAGCACTGCCGCGGCGGACCACAAGTTTCATTTCCAGGACTCGAGAACTCAATGACCTAGCTGGTCCTCACTGCTCACACGTGCAGTCCTTCTTCGGCTCCTGACTCAGTAGTTGAGTGTCAGTAGTCGTCGTTCGCCATGGTCTTAGCCACGTATGCCATCCTTAGTCTTCTACAGAAGTTCGCGACGGTTGCGCATCGGCTCAGACTTATTGTCATCTGCCCTTAAGTACCACCAGCGTCCATGAATGAAGGACGTCGATGAGACCGATCTGGTCGAAGGCATTTTAGTAGGATATGCATGTCATCCCTCTCGGCACAATTAGTGCATTCTCTGTCTATGCTTGTCCTGTTTTCCCTTCCAGACATGTAGGTGTAGCCTCTCAAAATCTCAGTGCCCTGATAGCACTTGTAGAAAAAATCCACAGTTATCTGCGAGGACAACCTCCTGTACAATCTTCCGCTGACGTTCGCTGGTGAAGGCTGGCCGAAGCGATGCCGAAAAATGTTCTACCATTCGCATGACTACTTCCACGGCTCGTTCGAGTTTGCGGCAGAGTCTCCTGGATTGGTGACATGATCTACATACAGCCTGGGATGCGCTCCATCAATGTTGCCAATGGGAGCAACCAACCATTCCCCCCGGCATCGATGGGCTATCGATGCCAGGGGAGACATATGAGAGAAGACTGCGTCCCTGATGACTACGTCGTGATTGTTGTGTGCTCGATCAGTTGGTTCTTCACACTCCGACATCCACCTCACTTCGCGATTCATCAATCAGAATCGTTGTCATGATCTCGAGTCGAGATTCTCGACGGATGGCGTCGATGATTAGTTCATCTTTCAACATGATTAGTTCTGGAGCGTCACACTCACACTCGAGCATCACGCCCTGGGCGAGTAACGAGTACGAGCGAATGGAGCTGAGGGTGGCGTGATGGTGAAGCCTACGAACTGTGTAACACAATTGCTGATGAACATTATTTGTAGGAGTAGCTGAGGCTCAGCTGTTGAGCTTCGGACCCCTATTGGAGTTACTCAGAGGGAGAGTAAAGGGTAACGTGCGCAGGGCGACCCTGTTACTGCTCCTGCCCATTTGGCGCGATTGCGTCATGCAATCGCTCAGCAAACGTGCGTCGCAAGCAGACGTGCAAATTCCACGTGACATGAAATCTGCACATTACATTGTAATGGTCGCTCACATTAATTTACCCACCCAAATGTTGAACCCATTGTGCCACAAGCGTTTTGAATCACCTAGATAGTTGAACTACATTTGCCTCAGATTAAAAATTAATAACGCGACTTAGCGCACCTCTTTAAGAATATATTCAGATTTTGAATTATTGGCCAAGCGGATATCGTAAATGTGATTGATCATTTGACGCATATACACGGGAGCTACGCCTAGTACTCTTCTGCCCGCCATAAACGGTAGACTTCGGTCAGGCAGCGCGCACAGTCGGTAGTTGATGATGGCCAAATGAAGTCGATTTGAATATAGTTAACAATGGATGTAATGCTGCTGAAAAACCAGCTAACAGCAACAGACATATCTGTGAAAATCGTGCAATCACCCTGTGCATTGCACGTGCTAGCTATGTAGCTACTACGCTAGAATGTTGCAAGATCGCTACTCATAGCTTATGAGTCATAAAAGAGAGTAGATTCTTCGTAAGTATTCACGGTTCTGACGTATTCACTGTGCACTGGAAGTATACTCTCAGATCCAAGCTCTGCGTTATCTACAACCTGTAGACTTGAAGTACACTTGTAGACTATAAGTCGGGTTCTAAATACGAATTGTTGAACTTGCATGCATACTTTGACATGTGGAGAGATGATCATCAGCCAAAGCTTGCAGTTTACAGACGTACGAGATAGGATGATCAATTCCATTGGGAATGTAGGCCGTAGAAATTCTATTTACTCGATGATGGTAGAAGTGATTGATCCCACTGCGGCCAGTAGAACCACTTCTAATCGATCGGAACCGGCGGCTATCAGCCATTGGTCATTAGGCAAAGGTCGCAGTGAATAGTACCAAATTGATAGTATTCTGGCCCAGAATACATATCTGCCCAGAATTTCTGGGGCAGATATGCCATTCCGCGGCTGGTATGCATTGCCTGTTTCATCATGATAATGATTCAATCATTACCAGGTAATCCAAGTTGATCACTCCAGAGATGAGAGTTATGATAGCTCTACTGATGAATCACGATGGTACATTCAATGTACTACATTAACTGTATGAGTGTTTAGTTAGTTGGCATAGCGGCCCCGAGGAGTCGAGTATCATCCATTGGTATTATCAACTTTTGGTAATATCAACTTTTGGTATATCAACAGTTGATATTATCCCTACGTACAATCACAAAACGTGCTATCGCGGTCGATCAAGGTACCAAGTTGGCATCGCCAACGAGGGGTAGACTCACTTCATCGATCCCAAGCGTTTCTGCGGATCTCGATAATTCGATCATTTTCTCCATGTGACTCAACAATTCGTTATGACAACAACTATGAATGGTGTTAGTCTTGTTATCACTAATAACTGATGGCGATTTGGTATCTTCATTCTTTTATGATGGAAGTTCTGTAGAGTCTCGCCTAGTTCTGATGCGGAATGGTCAGGCCAACTCTGTATATTCGCAGAGAGCAGAGGATCCTCTGCTAATGCATATATACAGTAAGAACAGAGGCATGTCCCACTCAGCCATCGATGCTGTGTGATTAACTCGCTTCCTAGCAACAGGAAGTGTTACTCGTCGCTCGCATTCGCGAATAGCTGATCAAGCTTGGGCGGCGATATGATGATATGATCGACATCGAAGTATCTTTGTGTCCCATGTAGATAGGTTGCGTAGTACAAGCGTTTTCTTTGGGAAGCCGCGTAAGATGCACATAGAAGCGAGAAGATGGGGAGCATGAGGTGTTACTATAGTTCGAGAGTCTCACATATACTTCTACGCTGATAGTCAGGTAGGGCTGAGCGGATAGCTTCTACGGAGCGGAAGTGATGAAAGTAAGAAGCCTGGCAAGCTCGATAGAATAGTCTCACCTTTGCCCTGAGTGGGGTATCCTGAACGGAGTATCTTAGATGAATCATCTAAGGTAATATTCGCGTACAACTTGGT